TAAAATTGATTTGGAATAAATCATAATTAAGATTACTAATATTATTACGTATACGACAATGTATTATGTTCACTTTCCTTTCTCCAAACTCTTTAAAAACTTTCTCTCTGTGACTATTTTAATCGGTTTGATAGAATTCTTAAATTGTTGAAAAGTGGTGCAATTTCTTTTACCCAGAGACAAATTATTCCATGAATTACAGGTATAGGGTATGAACATAGAAGAGACGTAAGGCAGTTTGGTAAATTTCCTGACCGGATATTATAAAAAAAAAAGACTGAGTTTTCTGTACATTCTTCGCTGCTTTAGGGATCACCAATTTAATCCTTCATATAAACGAGATTAACTTGTTAAGATGGACAAACCTGTTGTAATTCTAACAGCTACATACGGAATATTTATGCCCCCGCCATTCATGTCTTACAGACATTTTCTAGTTTCATTAGCTTCTGTATCCTTTCAATACAATTATCTCAGACCTCACATGCATATTCTAGAAGAGGATGAACACACACCAAATATAATTTCTCTTATTTTTTCTACTTAAAATATATTTCAGTTTTCTAAGGGTTGTTATATGCCTTTAACTTTTATTTATAATCCTATCGATATGAATCAGAACTTATTTTAAATCCTAGGTGCTTGTGAAAATCGACTTTAGGAATGACCAAATGGAACATTTAACCCTCTCTGAAAGTGAACCCAACGCAGCATGCTTTCGTTTTATCCCTCTCTGGCATGAGAGTTAAGAATGGCCGGTGAGGTGGAAATGTTGATACGAGCATAGATTTTCTCCACGGTTCACTGCTGAACTATGACCATACATACGTTGTCTTAAATGTCCATTTATTCCACCAGTATTAAACCATACACACATTCAAGACCATATGAGAATTTAAGTAAATGATTTACTTTTACTTTTCATGTTTATTGGAAGTGATTAAAAATTAATATCTTCACTTCCAACATGGATTACACTGTTATAAATCCGACAAGTATCACACATGTGGTCACATTCATACTATGGTTTCAAGCATAGGTAAATCCTCCATTGACTTCCTGAACAGCAAACACCAACAACGCATGGACCTGAAGAGTGTTTATATATCCAGTTGGTGAATTACTTTTCATTGCTGATTGACTGTTTCATTGAAGTTTAGCAAGTCTTGAAGCGCCTATGGTAATGTCTAATGCAGTTATCAAGGTTGCCCCATAAATTGTCCTATAGGGACAAGATCGTGGCACAACAAGTGACTGGATTCCATCGCAATACTGCTGGGCATTCTCATTGCTATCCACTATAACGAATGGATATCAAGGAAGGGACGAAATTACTCCAAACCATGATTTTGCCGTCAATAAACCAACTAAATGTCCGCAAGCAGGCGTCGATAAAGCGTCCTCTCCGAACCGGCGTTGCTATGTTGCAGACAAAACGGAATCCATTACTTCAGTCAACCGATTCTCTTTAGCATTCGCTATCGCAATAGTTGTTGTACACATTCCTGTTGCACACTGATGATGAGGTTGTATTAACATTTGTACACGGTAAGGACGCTCACTACGAATAACGTATTCAGATAGGTTATTTCTCTTGATTAAGATTATATTCCATAGGAATCTTACACTTTGTTATACAAGCACCAAATTTGGCACAAATGACGTTCAGGATGTACTTTTTAAGAAAAGTACGTTTTTCAGCTGAAAATCCAAGATGGCCACTATTTTTCAAGATGGCTGCCTCGTCAAATGCAACAAAAATGGTTTTTGAAGTAGAACTTGAATGAACAGAAATGTGTTGAATACGTTGATTATGGTCGTGTAAACGTAACAGCCTAATATGACGGTCTTATGTGTGGGTTGTAAAACTGCGTCTGCAAGAACGCGCTCGGTCGGCAACCCACCTAGTCAATCTGTTCCTGCTGATGAGACAACATGTCATAGCTCTAACACCTCTTTGACCATACCGAGCGACTGCACCATTAATTGGTTTAGCCTTGCCGTTCCTACACTGGACATGAGAAATATTTTTTTTCAAAATTGTTTGATGATCCCACTTTGCTGACACTGAAACTTTGCCATCATGTCTACTGATACGTTACGCCGAAATTTTACAGCAATATCTAACGAAAATTTAAAACTTTTTTTCCTCTCTTATCTGACTCATTTATTTGATCTGTTTTAAATAAATAAATACATACATATATCTTTTATCCTTGTATGTGTTCATGTCGTGGACGTATTATCATATTCGGTAGTGTATTGAACATGTGGCAGGGTGGCGTTAAAAATGTAACTTATCACTTGTAAAATACTAAGGTGAACACATCAGATATGAATATTGTTGTTTTACTTTTTGAAAATGTTAACCATAAATCATGCTGCTGATGGTTCATGAGTCGCTAATTGTCTCCCTCTAGTTTTAAATGTTAAAGATTTTGTGGATCACGATCTCGGTGATACATGTACCATATATGTTTGTTTACTGTTCAGATCTTATTTAGTAAGTAAACGTGTATCTAGTGCAGTTATTTTTAATCACTGCCCAATGTTTTCGTCGTTTTTCGGCAAACTTGGACCTGTTGTTTCCTGTTTTTGGGGTTTTTTTTTAAATTTATATAATTGTGGTTACGCATCGTGATGACGTCATATTTTGACATCGAATCCCAAAATCTTAAACAAGTTGCTCAGAACATTGTGAATTATATAAGTTACACTAAGGCACGTTTTAGGGATAGTAAAATATTCCGCTTTCAGATGGAGTAGCAGTGAGAATTTTGTAACTCTTGCCAAAAATTAAGTAACTTTTTGTCCCGAATACGAACAAGTTCATTCTGAATTAATGATATATTAATGATGTTTATACTGCAAATGTCGATAGTTTATCTCAACACAACATATCATACTCGTATTTACCGAATTATAAATTGGGCATTTATAATATATTAATTTTGTTTACAATTTGTGTCGAGCTTATTAATTGGTAGGATATATCAATATACTTATTTGCTCATTACAGTTATGAAAAGGAACGAGAATTATTTATGGTTCATTTCAGTGATCCTAAACTTTGTATAGGCCATTACAAACACATTTTGCTAATTGTATAAACGCTATGGAATAGAGTTGTTAAAAATAAGTACATTTAAGAACACGGAGATGGCGTGAAACTCTATTAAGGCTCTTTTCTTGTACAACACATCAAAATGAAGATAAATCACGTAAGTTATCCGTTTAAAAGTGTTGATAAGATTATATAACAATGTTGGAATTATCATAAATAAGATAAAAATGATAAACCTTCGTTGTGTAATTTTCTGTCAGATCCTCATATATATATATATATAAATATATATAAGTAAACATATCTTTTGGAGATTTTGAGGATTTTGTTTAAGAGTCTCGGTATAGATTTTTCTTCTGTTCATATTTTGCACTAATTTTATGGAATTTGAGTTTGGACTATGATTTAGTTACCATGTTGGTGTTTTCTAGAGATGTTTTTCCGAATATGTATCAATGTACATATTTAGGTTATTTAATTCAAACGGTAGCAAAGATAATTTATAACGCAGAGAAACTGTTAACGAAATACTTCTGTTAAATATATTATTGTCCAAACAATCCAACAGTGATTGATGATGGGTGTTATAGAATTTAAAGAGAAGTTGATATTTCATTTAGTATGATTTAATTCTTACAGATTTTTATGTGGGTTGTCACTTCTGTCCTCATTTCAACAAGCCGATGCAGTTTTAGTAAGTACGAATTATATATCATTCACGCAAACATCATTTCTAATAAAGTTTACAATGTTATAAAAAATAAATTAAAAAAGGGTTTTGTTACTCTTTTTGAATGAAATCGGAAACAAACACACATACATAAAAAGCGTATTGCACAATCATTGTTTTTAAATCGTTATCGTTTTATTTCAGAGAATATACTGGAAAGATCTATTCCATGTTTTTACGATGACACGCTAAATGCAACTGCATCTATTGCCACCTTACGACATCTCCGTGTAGAGTTGTCATCAGATCTTCAGAAAAAAGATGACCTCCTTCAGGAGTCATTGGTTTGTTTATTAGACTTATCATATAGATTCACTATTAATATGAACATTGTACGTACGAAACGAAAGAAAACTGCAGTTTTAAATACAGGTTCAAAAATCAAATACAGTAGAGAAAGAAAATAAATTAAACTTCATCATACAACTTTTCATTCTTCTAGAACTCTTCAGTGATGTTAAGGCCTGTATTTAACTAGGGCAAATTATGAACAAACGAAAAATTTAAAGGGAGACACCAAAAAGACTAAATTACTTAAGTTCAAAAACTTACCGCAGAAAAAAAATTTATAAACTAAAATTTTATCACTTTACGAATTTACAATTTTAAATACTTCCCTCGAAACATGTTTGTATTTTTTCAGTTTGAAATTGGCAGTGTGATTGATAACATGATTATTAAGTATGGCCAAACCCAACTTGATCATTACAGCATGGTAGATATAGCGTCAGGTAATTATTGCATCGTTACTCACTAAATCAATACTTGAAACTCATTAAAAAACACATGTTCAGTATTAAAATTGCTGCATGCAATAGCTTTTCATATACATGTTTTGGACTAGATGAGTTACTGTAAAATTACTCATTTCCGCGGGGACTTATTTTTGTTCTTTAGCTAGATCTTATCCACGAATTCATTATTATGTAAATGAACAGTCAAAAGACGGTTATCGTAAATGTATAGAGCTATATTTATAAACAAAATCAAATGTTCACGGAATAAAAATTATAACAAAAATACTAAATTTTCCCTCAAGAAAATAAGTGTAATTTCACAGTAATAACATTAAAGAAAGAAAATATCTATTATAACAAATATTCTATGACTGGTTATGTTTTATCTAGATAATACATGTACACATAATGTACAAATGTGCTATGGTATCTTTCATTGACATCAGAACTGGTGAAATTGATAGAAGTCATGCTTGACGGCATCAGCTTCCTCACCTGTACAGTAAACAACCCAACAGACTGTTCTCTAGACAGTAGTAAGGTGAGTAAGTACCAAGATAACACACTTAGGACACAAATATGACAGGATTGAATCAGTCTAGGGTAAAATAGAAAAATATGGTTGGATAAGCAAATATTTGGAAAGAATTAAATCTTTTCTAAAAGGTTACCTTTATCAACATCATGTAGACACATTATCCTAACCAATTTCTATGAAACAAGATGTGTTCAAAAAACACTATGCCCAGGTTGCAACAAAATTCTGAAGTTGGACAGTTAATCCGTACTCTCGAAGGGGAAAGATACAGAAGGAGTATTGACAGAATTAACAAACTATGTGTATTATGTAATAATCGAGATAACAAAGACGATTTTCAGTATAGTTAAGTGTCCATTTTATGAAGATATTCACTCGAAATGTATTAAGCCATTCTGTATCAATCGTCCGAGCATGTTTGAATAATATATAATATAATAATATAATTTCAGATATTATTTGTGTGTGCAGTTTGCAAAGTTATATATTATTTATATCTGTGTTTGTAATGTTAACTGATTAGTTGTGAAACGTGTTCTGATAACGAAACTTAAACTTAACCTTGCTGACATCCCTTTGATTTCATTCCTTGACACGGGTATAAAGGTGTGTATTTGACCACTTGCCAGACTTCTATTACAGAAATATCTTAAGTCCGTTATGTCATTCAGCATCTCATTCATAAGTATTGTGAATAAGATCTTGTATCTTAATTGCCAAACTAACTTAAGGAATACACAATGACGTCAATTTTTCATTATAATTGATACACAATATATAATACATCATATTAAGAAGAAAAACAGCTGACACCAGCATTGAAGTTATTTTGTAAATAATATGGCTGATACACTTCTGTATTTTTGGACCGAAGTGGTAACATGGTAAATGATTTTGGAATACGGAAATTCTGTCAAGAAATTCGGTATATTCCTCATAAAAGCTCAGAAAAAATGTATACAATGCTACCAGGCTTCATCTTCCGTTAGTCGTCTGTATGGTTTTAATTTAACACACTAGTAATGCTTTGTGTACTTGTGGTTATCATCGTGAAAACGTCGTTCCTTTTTATAGTGTCATTTTCATATCAATAAAAGGAATCTTTTGAAATACAATTTTATAACTGTATCATTGAATATTAAGGTCAATTTGGGTACAATTGTGTGCGGAAAACCTCATCTTACCGAAAGGATTTTCATTCAAATATCTTCAGACATATGTAGTCCATTATTAAAGTCTGTATAGATTCTTTAATAGTAATCATTGTATATATATGCATGTTGCCATGATAGTAATTTTTTATAAATATAAGATATATAAGACGTGATGTTGATTACAGATATGTTTAACTCGATCTCGGTTTGCAATTCTGGTAAATTTCATATGACTGTCTATATAATGCTATCGTCAGAATAATTCAAAACTATTAAACATTTATTTGCAATCTGATGTAGCATAACATGGCAATCTCGCCTTTCCCTTCTGTAGCGACTGCTACCAATAGTTGAACTTGTGACGTCACAACCGATAGGGTCCGATTCAGCGCGAGTTACCCCTTAGGCTGATTATAGGTAAAAGGACAGGTGAAACACTTTCCACGTCAATTTTTTCGGTATTAGGCCTATCGATTTTGATGCGATTTTCAACCTTTTTGATTTTCGGGCATAAATAGTAATACACTTTTTCATTTCTATTTTCAATCTGTGTACACTTTAAAATGTGCTTATTGCATGAAACCAAAAGGAAAACATATACCGATATCATATATTTATATCCTGTTTACTTCTTTACCTCTGCAGTCAATGGAGTATGTCAACAACACCGAAGAGCGGCTGCTTCAGTTTATGACGATCGTAGTAAACAGTCCAGATTCTCCGGATGAGATCGAAGTTAGCAAAGGAAATATTGTGATAGCAACGATCAAAAGTAAAGGGGCGTTGTTGGACGAGATGGTGACTAAATATAGCAGCACATTGGACATTCCTTATGTCAGACCGGACGCTGTCCAGTTTAACAATACAGAACTTATACTTTATGTAGGTAAAAACATTCGGGTTTGTTTGGTGGGTTGAGGATATTTTGTTTTAATTTTTCAAAGCTTTTAGGTCAATAATTCTATTTGCGATAAAGTGTTAACAATGAGTTTTTGTATTACAATTTTAGCACGCATTTCTAGTTTTTTCCCAATAGTTTATACTTGGTGGGTCGTTTGTATTGTATGGTTTTATGAGGTATTCAATATGTCTTTTAAAGACCAAGGATAATTTCTTAAGACTATATCAGTTTCAAAAAATTATTTTGTTGTAATCTTTAATATTTTCTTTTAAATACATGAATTTCATAGTTATGCGTCTTTTTAAAAAATAATTTATATTTTTGTGACACTGTATTTTTGCATTATTGAAGGTCATTTCCTACAACATCAATAAGTACACTTACGTCGATAATCAAAGAATGATCAACACGGGAACTACAAGGACTGTGATTCGGGACAAAAATGGCAAATTTATAGACCTTTACAGCGGAGACGATCAACTTGAGGTAGATAGAAAACCCCGCTTCAGGATAATTTTATACTCACGGTCATGTAGTAGGGAAAAAACAGAGGGAAAAGAAAATGACATGTCGACATCATTTTAATTTAAATTTAAATGAATATAGGGGGAAAAGATCCAAGAGCAAAGTACACTGGGCATAAGGGTAGTTGTCCTAGTCAATCCAAATAAGCATGCAATTTTAAATGAGGTCAAGGTAAAAAACAAAGGAACAAAAAAAATATAACTATCATATCTCACAAGGAAGTAACATTATATCCCCAAAAGACAAGTATGGTGATCCTTAAATTTCCTCATAATCTTCATCAACCTGCGTCTTTAGTTTTTTTTTTCATTTATGCATCTATTATGATATATTAGTGTTACACACATGAAATGTCTTTGACGCAATTTCAGCGTGTTAAATAGGTTAATCAAAATTATTGCAAGAAATGAATAGGATTATTAAAAAAATAGAAATAAAATTATAAAATATAATAAAGAATGATTAAATGTCGACGTGGATTCTGTTATACTTACCTTCAGGAAATATCTCTTCCGACCTATGAAAACACGTTTGATATGATCACTGTTCTGTCGCTGATATCATGATAATGACTCAAACTTCCTTTCATTGTCAATTGAACTGAGATCATCATCCTGTTTATTTTAAATACAAACTCTTAATTTGAGAGATGTGTTGTCATTGTCGACATTTATGCTGACAATAGATACACATTTCAACAATATAAATACATATAGGAAAAAGAAGTTATATGTATATATATTGAAAAGGACATAAAATTGTTGATACACATATACACATATATGAAATAAATTATCAACAACCTTGCCATGTCAAGAACGTCACATTCTGAATAATTAAATTAAAAAAATAAGAAAATAATCGCAAATATACCAACTCATCCCATGGAATTTCCAAGTAAGGATATCAAGTAAATTAACAGCATTGTGATGTTGCAGATGGTTGTAGATGCTAACGATGTGATGAACGATCCAAGTTTTTGGGAGAACATCACTGACGTGGACAACAACAACGAATTCTTTCTAAATGCCTCTTTTCATAATAATGTTGACGGTGCTTTAATGAATATTCGCATCAAAAGCATTATGCCATGTGTGATGAATGGATACGATGCCAGTCTTAACGAGAGTATTGACAGCCAGACACCAGTGGTGAATCTAAGTATGGAAGGAGGAACGGATCTGACTATCTACAACAAACCTTCGAATTTAGATATAACATATAGAAAGCAGGATCTCTCCATTGTTTTCGTTCCACCTGAGAATAATCTAGAATCTATGATCTCACTCAACATGTATTTTCAATGTGAAGGTATGGTTTAGTGCGCATTTTGCATTTACTATGTAATTATGTTGAAATGATAGGTATCTTTTTGTGTGTGTTGTGCAGTTTCTAGATGGTCATAAAGTTTACTGTAAAGTTTATAATATTCGCGGAGGATACAATTTCGCTAAATTTACGGCAATAAAGACGGTTTGAAATTAAAATACCCAGTGCACGTTTCCATGATGTTTGAGAACATCAGAAAATATCTGTTATGCCAATAAACATGGACATCAGTCATAGTCTTACGGAAAACATAATACCATTGAACTACTCAAAACCGCTTCAACCGCGATATATTAATCCAACGAAATTCGATAATTATACAGTAGTTCGTCCATACAAATATAACGTTAGGAAGTTGTATAGCGATTTCCGTGGTAAATTAGGTTTCATTTGGTAGATATTGATAGTATAACAACAACATTTATAACATAAAGGTATTTGTTCTAGCCTGTATCAATTCGCAGATATTGTTATGGTGATTTTAAGTTATGAACATTACAAAATGTAATTATTTTCATAAAGGTCAATGTAATAAAGATATGTATTTATTCCAGCATGTCTCCAATCAGCACAGATGTCCTTCCTCATCATTAAATCTAGTCTTGTCCTACAAGACGACTTCGATGTAGCGGTAAAGTTTGTGAAAGAAATGATTGGTGTGGTGACTAATACAGAATTTTCTTTACACGTATATGAAACAGTATTTGAAACTGCATTTCCGTTTAGTGATAGAGTAACGTCTGGGGCTGCCGTAAACAGCTATGTCGCAAATACCGCACAGATTTCGGCTACAACAACTTGCACCACACCTAATACCAACAGCACGCTTTCTACAACTACGGTACCTTCTACAAACACTGGAAGTACTACAACTGATGCATTTGCCCAAGTTACAGAAGTCCGCCTTGACACGGCACTTTACAATCTGACGTCATATTTAACAACAAACGCAACCTGGTCTCGGCAACAGATAGCTGTTATAGTAACAGACGGAATATTTACCTCAAATTTCACTTACATTTCTCTTGCACTGAATGAACTTCGTAGCAGAAACGTCAAAATCCTAGCGGTAGGATATGGTGTTAAATCAATGACTGTTATCAATCAGCTTGTTGAAACGCCTACCTCTTGGCATACATTCCAGCTCTCCAGAGATCCAGAAGAAGACATTGAAACAACAGACCTGCAAGATTTTATGAGTTCATTTTGCTACGGTAAATGTTTTGAAGAAATGTTCCTTTTTCTTTGTCGTATACTTACAACGTTACTAAGGATAGAACGGTTTTACACTAAAGATGTTTGAAATGAATTCATTCATCATACATTTGCATATCAAGATACGATGATACGATAAATGACATCCAGCTCATGACCATCATTACCATTGTCAATGGCTGTTTTATTTGACAGATAATACTTTATTTTATAATAGATGTGTATTTAGTTTAAATCAATATTATACTGCAACGTGCATAGGGAATGCAAATAAACATTTCTTTCGATCATTTTTGGCTTACAAATAGTTATAGTTTGCGTATATATAATGAAAAGATAGAAAAATAAAGAAATGAATAATAATAACTCGCATAAATGGGAAAGAAAAGGAAAAAATTAATACCATTAAAATAGCCAGTTAAAGGTCATACAAATCGGAACAACCAATGCATTGTGCATGAAAACAAAAAGGTTTGAAACAAATTAGTGGGAGGATACTCTTTTATATGTTGAACATTTTTATATATTGTGCTTTTGTATTTATAAAATTATCTAGGTAATTACGGCAAGCTGGCTTTCAACTCTTTGCGCTTTGGACGTGTATCAGCTCTAATGCTCAATGAAACGAGCAATCGATGGCATATATCGGAAAACATAAAGGTGAGAAATCTTTTCATTTGCAATCTTGCTGATATTCATATTTTTTATCCATGGGATTCAACATTAACTAAATGCTTATTACAGAGTATACTCTTGTTCATCATGATTCGTTTGAGATCACCCAAATATTGATAAAGGACGATGCCCTCTAGGGGCCGATTTAAGCCTGTCCAACGGGCCATCTTACATTGTTAAGAAAATCGTTCGTCCACATACCATCTGCATATTTCGAATATTTATAATATAAGTAAGAGAGCAAGGACGGAGATGGGGTTAGTGAAAACCAACATGTGAGGTCACGTTTTGGTTGTATAAATAACCAATTTATAAAATAAACAGACATGTTGATTTCATTTTTGGGAGTAATTTGTGATATTCGAACAACGCTTCCAGTTAAACAGAGGTACACAATTTTTAAAAATAATCAATATGGCTTAAATACTACATGTAATGTATAGTGTAAAATGAAGGACGGAACACTTGTAAGATGCAGTTTTCCTTATTTTACTGACGTTAAGTGAGATCGTAGACTTAACGACGTTTGAAAGTACAGCTGATTTTCAAAAGAATGTATAAGTATCAAAAATACGTCAATTAATTTATTGTTTCAGATGAGCGGCATATCTATGTCAACGCTGACAGTAACATTCAAGAGTAACTTTTTAGGGACGTTTGGTTCAAATGTCTTTGTTATCCCACCCGGTGTCTTGAATTTTGATACACTTTTCGTGGACTTTGCTAGAAAGCTCGAGGACACGCCTTACGTCCTAGGTGTCAATGTCGGCTGTCTCGTTCTCATGGTCATATTGGTAATTCCCCTTAGATACTTCGACAAGAAAGATCTCTTAAAGGTAAATAAAGTTAATGTTTAATGGAAATATCTACAAATCACCCATATGCAAACAAGAAAGTTTAATGTGTTTAGACAATATAAAAATATATATTGTGAATTGAGATGAAGTCGACCGATTTCCTTCTCTTGCTAAACTTATCTATGTCTAGTTATGAATTAAAGTTGATTATATTTTTTCTATCCGTGGCAGTTTGTAAAGTAAATGCACATCGCTTTTGCAGATTGGACATATAAAAATGGCACAAAGTTTCGATTTTTTTTTATCTTATTGAATTTCATTTATAATCTGCAATTACTATATTCCTATATTCTATAGTGGGATTACCTCCCCCTGGTGGACAACCCACGGAGAGCTCGATATTCATACTACTTGTCCTTCTACACCGGGTTCTGGTCCAGCAGCCGCCTAACTTCGACGCCTTTCATCATCGTAAAGGGATATAAAGGGATAACAGGGACCCGAGCTGTCAATGACGGGAAACGAAAGGTTCAAACTACTCTGCTCGCTTTTTATACTTCACTGCATAGATAAGAGTGTACATGTATATACGTATGTATCTTTGCGTCCGTGGTAACCTTGTGTACAGGATATCTCATGAAACAATATATAGATTGAAATCATACTCATAACATAGCATCATCTTATCAGGTCTACACCTAAACAGACTTTGGTGGTCATCGGTCAAGGTTACCACTTTTGCAATAACAAGCTTGAGTTAAAGAGATTTATCAACTCACCAACGAATCACACTTTCAATGTCTACACAAGACTATATTGTAGTGGTCATAAGTAATGTCAGAAGTCAGCATTCACCACTTTTGAAATAAAAATGTTTGTGTACAAGATATCTATTAAATCCTTAAACAGATAAAACACCTCAATGGATTTAAGGGAAACAATAAGGGGTGGGGTATGTATATATACTGAAAGGATAAAGAAACGCAGGGTAATATTTATTCCGATATTTTGAAAACGCGTTCTCCAAATAAAGCGAAACTTTGTGGATTGAGTAATTAGGTCATATTACACCTTGTCATGTATCGAAAGTTTAGTCACGGTCTGTGCAGCTCTGGTACATGGGGGAAGGAAAAAACAAGAATCTCGTGCACCGTGTTGTTCTGGTCTCATGCAGCGTTGGTCAAGTCACTCTTCGTTAGTCTTTATACAGACCAACTGCTTCCCTAAAATTAATTGAGAATTTGATTTGTTTTAAGAATGGCACGACTCACAGAAGTTCAGAGGGGTCAGGCCATTCAGATGCTGATGCAAAGACAGCTGCAAAATCAGTTTGCTAGACACTTTGGTGTTAATGTTTCCACCAAAGAACGTCTTGTAAGACGTCTTCGGGAAACTGGGCGATTGGCCGATCGACCTAGGTCAGGACGTCCGCGCGTAACGTCACGACGTCAGGATCGCTATATCGTCGTCTCTCATGTGCGTAATCGGCGCCTTACTGCCGTTGAGAGTGCACTTAATGTTCGTGGAAATCATGGGCGTCCTATAAGTTCAAAAACTGTAAGTAATCGATTACGAGAAGTTGGTGTAAGAGCACGTCGCCCCTACGTAGGTCCACACCTTACCCCCTGCTCGACGTCAGCGTCGTATGGCCTGGGTCTCTGCACATGCTCCACGACGGTTTCCACTGAGGCAGCGGAGACAAGTTTTCTTCACGGACGAGTCTCGATTCTGTCTTTATCGATCTGACGGCGTTCAACGTGTCTACCGACGTCGTGGCGAACGTTTTACGGACGCTTGCGTTGTAGAGAGGGATAGGTTTGGGGGCGGTTCAGTAATGGTGTGGGGAGGAATCTCACACGGGTTGAAATCACAATTGGTTGTTATTGATGGCAATTTAACAGCAACTAAGTATAGAGATGAGATCCTCCGACCCCATGTTATCCCTTTCTTACAGCAGCATAATCTAACCCTCCAGCAGAATAATGTAAGGCCCCACGTAGCAAGGATTTGCCAAGTCTTTCTGGCCAACAGCAACATTCAACCACTAGATTGGCCGCAATATAGCCCTGATTTGTCCCCGATCGTGCATCTTTGGGGCCAGTTGGATAGACAGGTTCGAAAGCGCCAGCCACCCCCTGCTACTCGAGAGCAGTTGACCAGAGCTCTGATTGAAGAGTGGGACAACATCCCCATAAGACAGATTAACGCTCTCATGAACTCTATGACCAGAAGAATAAGGGCCGTGACCACAGCAAACGGCGGACACACAAGATATTGATGACTCAGTTCAATTTCAATTTCAAAATCCTATGAGTCCATTCAATTTAATCGTTAGTACCTCTAAACCAATTGTCAGATGCAAAATACATACTTTGAAATTTTTAAGCTTTAATTTAGCTGTAAGTATACAAAATTTCGTTTTAAATGAAGCCCGATATCATACTTAATTTCTGGTTTAAATGTCACCCTGCGTTTCTTTATCCTTTTAGTATATAATACCTACTCACTTTATTTTCATTTCATTATTTATTTAAATTATTTATGATTTCAGATGTTTGAACGCTGGACACTTGGAAATTTTCTATTAAAAACTGACCGAGAACTAGGAAAACTTTCGGAAATCGAAATTTGGCATGACGAACAAGGGGATTCGCCCACATTGTACCTTGAAAAGATTCTCATTTATGATGAATTTAACGATGAAAAGTATGTTATTTTCCTCATCTTTGAAATTTGATATGGAATATTCAAGGTCCCTTCGTTAGAGGATGTGTTTCCCCCGAAACGTTTTGCTAGCTGCTGATCAAGTCTATATTGTGATATTCCTCATTCGTTTCAGATGAGCTCTAGAATGAAATAAATTGTACGATGCAAATTATATCAAAATGAGCTATTCACTATTGTGTGTTTGCACAATCGTGTATAGCTCGAAATTGTAGTATCTTAATTCTATTATAACAACCGATTACATGTTTTCTTATACATTATCAATGTTTTGAGTATGAAAAATGAAAGCATGGGAGTTATATCCAATGATTTTTGTTCAAGGTACACGTTTCTATGTGGTCAGTGGCTATCGCCGGAAAGAGGCGACTGTAAATCCAAACGAACCCTGTATACCGCTAATTCGGAATTGAAGGATGGTAGTGTTTTATTTGGCAGCAATACTAGATTCAATTTGTTCGATGACTATCTTTTTCTTTCACTGTTTAAAAGACCATCGGCGAGTCGTTTTACAAGAGTCCAACGATGTGTTTGTGTATTTTCAATGTTATTTTTGTCGATGTTGGCAAATGCGATGTGGTACCGAACATCAGAAGGAGTTGAGATCTACGGAATTCATCTAGGTCCCTTCAGCATCAATTACAAAAGTATTTACGTTGGTTGTATGGCGAGCTTGGTCACATTCATCCCTGGATTTCTCATTGCATGGATATTTAGGAACCGCAAAGTAAAGGTCGGCACAACATTTAGGGACCAATACACGAAGGAAGTAATGAATGAAGGTTTCTTACCATGGTGGTTTATATTCGTCGGTTACGTCGTGGCAATTATATTCTTGTCTTCAGGCGCGACCTTCACCTTTTTCTACAGTATTGACTGGGGTCGAGAGACAACAATAGAATGGCTTGTGTCATTTACCTTTGGAACTGTGCAAGGAATACTACTCATGGATCCCCTCAAGGTTTGTCATATAAATAACATCATTTTGATTAACATCAACTTACGCATTTATCATATTCTGTAGGGTAATCGTTAAAATCTCTAACAATCGATTTAAATTTTCATCGACAAAACTTTTTGGTCTTCATCCATGCGGGTTTTAAATATATAGGTCGAATATGACGAATCATGGCATTATTAAGAGCATGTTCGATAACATTTAAGCGAAGGGGGCGAGCTTTATCTCTATAACACGATGCGTAAAGCCAACAATAAAGCAATACTTGTTCCTTTGCCTTTGTGTCTCCCTGCAAGAGATTTAAAATTCATTGGTGAATTTTCTGTCGATCTATCTATTTATGAATTCTTTAGGAACACAAAGGATGAAAACTGATATTGAATGTTCAACTTTCCATAAATTTCAATCAAACATTAATCATCTATTAATAGGAATCCTTGCTATATTAAAGATCAAATAACAATTGGCGTAAAATTCTGAACAATGATTACATTTATGCTATCTACAAATAACAATTAGCATAGCGTGTAACACAACATATACATATACTGATCAACACGTGTTTTCTACATAGGTGGTCCTTCTTACCTTGACAATAGCGTTTCTTTGTAAAAGATATGCTAAGAAAGATCTAGAGGGTATGGCCCCGGTACTTGTGGAGAGAAGCGCGTTAGAGGACAAGGAAGCAACCAAAGCTGACTTCATAAATATTGACGAAGGTTTGTATAGCAATTAATAACACACTTTAAAACAAAATAACAATATTCTATTCGACTGTATTGTTACTTATTATATCTTCTGCTGTAGGCAAATCAATGCGAGGTATTTTATAGGTTCATTACTTTCTACCGAAGTTAACATGTAGGCAGGTTATTATGAGTTTCGAGAAATTAATATTCCTATCATTATTAGAACTTCGCCTTGAAAGTATTTCATTTTGTATTGATCACAGCTCCGTTTTCCAACAAACATAAATCTTTCACTACTACACATCTACTATAGCACAGGAGAGTCAGATTTCTAACTTGTCTACCTTAAGTAGGGATCAAAGAGATCATCGACCCAGACAATTCATCTAGATTTGTAATGCAAAAAGAACTATAAGAACTATCGACCTCACATATCTCTTTTCATACAAGTACAAATATAATGTACTAAAATTCATTTCAATATCACATACTGATTTCATTATATTAACAACAAAAGTACAATCTGCTCGCATTGTTTTACAGAGCTGCAGCCTGTTATATAATGTCACAGGTCTGTGCTGTCAGTCCGTTATCAACGGCTTTTACTGCATATCGAAATCTTTTCATTTTATTTTACAGCAAATTCTTTTGATGAAATGTCAAAACCGACCAGTAACAACAACAAGGAAAGAGCTAAGTTTTATAAGTTGATGCAGCTAGATAGAAAACTAATGATGTCAGCTCGAGCGATTTTTATTCAATCTATCTACATAAGCATCGTTGCAGTGATCTGTGCACACAACTCGGTTTGGACGTCTTATTTACAGAATACGGTTATGGAGAAAAGTCTCACTCCGATTAACAGGGTACGCATGCAAAATATCAAACCCCTAGACCATGCCTTACATCGACATGCATGCTTGATATTATTTTAACTGATGTGCACTATTTCATCCAGCTGATGCTTTTTATATTTTTGTTTCTTTTGGTGATGTAATTTGAAATAAGAAGAAATCCTATCTTCTGATAAATCAAGTGTATATCTTTTAAGTTCATATGCTCATATGAAACAAAATCACAATAAAGAGAAACACAAACAAGTTAATAGAATCTTTATGCAACTATATATTAAAAATTAGTATACAAATAGTTATTACATTGTATATTTCCAAGAGAAAAAACGTACAGTTGAATCAGACATATCTTTGTATTACAGATCAATTCTACAGAAGACATTTGGACATGGATGCGAGGACAATTTTCTGATTTCGTGTTTCCAAAGCTGTTGTACAATGGTGACATGAGACTGAATGAGTCCCGGTATTACATGGCTGATGATGTCAGTTATCGTATGACTTCTGTTAGAATTCGTCAAATACGAGTTAAAGGTGGGTTTTTCGTCTCAGTGATTTTCACTCAAGTCTTCATTTAGTCAATTTTTTCATTTTATATAACTGTTGTCAACCTTGTTTTCATTTGGAAACGTGGTATTGCTTAAGAGGATTGACAAAATTTACATTGCGAGTGTCGTTGATGAGGGAGGGGACGTTTATTTTTCCGGAACGCATGGTACACATATACGTATACATCCTATACCTTTACGAAGTATTTAGAACTCTAAAGGGTTTTTATCAATTAAATAATTGTAAAAAGTGTTAAGCGTGAGCTCTCATTTCGTCTGAATTAAAAGAAATTACAATGATAGTAGCAGGAATTCGACTGCCATGCCTCAAAGAATAGCAGAAGTATTACTTTATTTGGAGGTTATATGCTAAGCCTGATATTGGCATACTTAAATGACGAAATACCGGCATAAATATTTGAATTTTAATTATGTAGATGTAGATAGTTATATTCGTACAAATTATTGACATCCTCAAAGGGTAATACATACATATTGTCATGACAACAATTTTCAAAGAGTTTGTTATAATTTTACTTTCATAGGGAAATGTGACATTCCTTCGTTGCTCAAGGACCTACTAGATATCTGTCCCCCGCAATACTCGGCCGACAGCATGGAAAGAATAGACTATTGTGAAGGTAACTATAACGTTTAACATTTGTTTGCATACAGAATTAACAGAATACAGAATTATGTCCATTATGTACGTTTAACGACTTGAAAGAGTACCCTAACAATGTTATAGTTTGAATGAATGCGCAGCAAAATAATCTTATTCTAAAGAAAACAATTGCAAAACAAGTTTTTTTAACTTAAATAACTCTTGTTGGCCCAGATGGAGTCGCGCGAAGGGTCTACGGTGTGATGAAACCTGATAACCAGGGATAAACAACGCCATAGTTTTAATCTTTCTTTAAAGTAAATGTAATATGGCCAGGTAGATTTGCTGGAAACAAACAATAACGCTGAAAATCACTTGTGTTTTTATGCTATTTCTTCCAAATATAGACTTTAATTGTTTGATCATATACTGATTTTTTTTTATCTTTTTTACTTTTGTATTTTTTTTTGACTAGGATGGACGACGTACAATCCAAAGAAGTGTAACGGCACTGAATGGACTTTTACACCGGAAGATAAGACCAACTCCTTGTCAATATTTGGTGACCACGATATATACGGTGGTGGCGGTTATGTTAAATTACTTAACCAATCTATGAAGGAAGTTAGAAATGATCTGTATGCCATGCAGATCTATGACTGGATAGATCGTTTTACTCGACTTGTTGTCATTGAATTCGTCATATACAATCCGGATTCAAAATTGTTTTCGCTACCTACAATTACCATCGAAATACCCCAAACAGGTGGATATTATCCAAAAGTGACCGTTAAAACTGCACGATTGTATCCATATATAGACACTTTCGATTTCCTGGTACTCGGATTTCAGCTCATCTTCCTGATGGTCACGTTCTGCCGGTTTTTACATTGGGTTTATACCACATGGCAAATTGGCCGGCGTTGTTTTTCGCTAGTTAGTCAATGGGTGTACCTAATCAGCATTGTGATGTCAATAGCTGCCATCGTTTTCTTCATTGTTCGCATAGACAGGACAATTTATACCGTAGAAAATCTGTTCAATTCAAACGGTGAGTTATTTATCTCCAAATTTTTACTGTTAATGTTTATTTGTTGTCGACGTATCTAAGATATCAAAATTGATTACAAACAAATGAAATGGTTAATTATTTCTATTAATACGTATATTGAATGGCGGTTAGAAAGATAATCTTTTAAACAGATAGATTATCCTTTAAGGTCGAAGAAATTAGTTACTGTGTTACTGAACTGCCGTCATACCGGCATAACAGTTATAACAATACCTTTCAATCGGTACAAAATTTTAATGTTTTTTTCAAAATCTGGTATTATAGAAAACTGTTAACGTCAATTCATGAGGCTGTCTTCGAAAATGGATATTAAACAATGTTAAGATAAACTCAGATACAGTGTTTATGATGCTCTTGTATTAACGAAGTTCGCTACAAGTTATACCATTTTATACGCTGTTGTAGGTGAGTTCCTGACCTTTGATATTGTTGATGCCATGGATATTGCATTCAAGGCATGTATCGGTGTAGAGCTTTTTATTGCGGTGTTGAATCTACTACGGCCTCTCACATTCAACTATAACATCTATTTGATGAGGACGTCTATTGCGATGTGCTACGAAGATCTCATGGCCTTTGGATTGTGTATTATGGTCCCTATGATCGGTTTTGCAATCCTCTGCTTTGTTTGTTTAGGGTCATATCAAATGGACTTCAGGGACTTTCCAGCTGCCTTCATTACGTTGTTTCGAATGCTACTGGCAATGGTTAAAGTTCGAGACACTTTTGGAGAGCAAGAACTCGTTCTCAGCTTTACCTTTTCAGTTTTCCTATTTGTAATGACTATTGTTATGGTGAACTTCTGTATCAGTATTTTGAACGATGCATTCAGTTGTGTGAAAAACAACAAGTCAATGGCTAAAGATGTCGACACATACGATATGGAACTACATAAGCATTTCTGGCGTAAAATATATAATATATTGAAAATCTTTCAACGTAAGCAGAGAAAGAGCAATGATCCCGAGGAAGGTGAGTAAACCATAATAAAGATCCTTATATATACACCACAAATGTGGAAATACAAATTCTGAAACTTTTATTTTATGTATATATTTTTGCTATAAAATATTGTAATCTTAAGGGCATTATTTTATATAGAGTTTGACACCAAATGTCTTGGGGTTTGACACCAATTTGCTTTCTGCGATCGCACATATAAGCCCAGAGACAGCGGTACACACTCTAATGAGATGTGCATAGAAATTTATATTAATAAAGATTTATGACTTTTATGTATATATTTTTGCTTGTTCTTAAGGGCTTTCGGCATCCAGGCGACCGAACGGATTATCGGAATATTTCATACCGTTGCTCTCGACTATAGTTTGAACCTATGTGTTCGTTTATGGCCTATGTATGTGACAATACTACTATTAAAACTTCATGTATATATATATATATATTTTTTAGTAATATTCATCCAAGAAACTTTTCTTTTTCGGATACAATACCAAAATTAGACCATACCGTTGATATTACTTACAGAAATCCATATATATTCTATATTATCTGTATAAGCATGTATTATCTTCGCCATACGTTACGTCTAAACGCTTATCTAAAGCGAAAATAAATTCGAAACGCAATTTTTGATAAGATGATCCATAGCTAAATAAAATAATCTAAAGTATCTAAAATAGGCCTCAAACATGATTTTCATCTTACACATCACACATTTTCAATGTTCCTATAACAATTACATTTACCACAATTTTTTGCGTATTTACTTCAATTTGTTTCAATGCTTACCTAAATATTTTATTATTTTTATTTTTAAGACTTTTCTGGAATACTTGGTCTATCAATGGTCCTTGACAATCAGGTAAGTCAATAGGTGTGAAATAATAAATTCTCTTTTTTTCGAATTTAATATACCTTTAACTAATCCAAATTTTTGATATATGTATATTTTCCATGTTTGTTTGTCAAACAATTGATTGTTTCATGTTACAAACAGATCTTCAGAATTGTAAGCCAATTGGAACGCGCCTTCCAAAACGAAGATAAATTTGAAGCCAAATACAACTCTGTGAGTATTTGACCTAAATTGAAACGTACCTTGTGTATTATCTTATTAAATGCCAATTTTGGAAGATATATAGTATATTGTTTTGATTTATTATGAAACAGATTATCTGTGTAACATTTGGTTATTTTATCAGCATTTAAAACATACATTGCGTTTTGATGTTATACCTGTAAACGGATTGTACAGATACGTAAAATGTTGTTGACTTACAAACAGGCTGAAACTCATGAGGTCCATTTTGAGAAGGCAGAAACTAAGCAAATGTGCACACAAATGGAAAGATAGTATAACATCCCAATAAAAAATTATCGAACATCAGCGCAAGTTATGTTTGTGTTGGTAAGTAAAAAATGAAAATGCTTTACCAATTGCTGCATAACATTGAAGAATATTTAACTTTTTTTCAGATGATGCAGAAAATGCAATCAAAATATCATCGAAAACGTCATATCTATGGCCACGAGAATACCTTCTCCTTGCAGATCGATAACATCCAAGAGGAATCCGAAAACGATATAAACTCTATAGATTACAATTATGACCATGTTTAAGTTAAGTTTGGACACCAACGACAATCTTCATAGAGAAGTTCTAATCGATATATATGTACACGTGATAATTGGTAATGAAGGGAACATGCTTATTGCTTGTTTCGTACATATTCATATTCAATTAATGTTTAATCCCAAAGAGAAAATGTTCAATTGATTGTCAAACTTTCCACTTAATATCTTTTTCAGAAGAGAACAATTATAACTCATTTCAGATTATGTCTTGAAATTGATGAAATCAGTCAAGATATATTAAAACGGTTTCTTTTGTCGTTGTAGTTTAGTTCGCTGTCAGTTTTATCTGCTAATTACTTCGTAAATATTGTATCTGTTAATTAAAAAGAGTCATGACAAGGAAATTAACTCTAAATGAAAAACGCGACAACAAATATTGATACAGTTTATATATATAATGGTTTATACATGAGAATATAGATTTTGAAGTTCCATTGAAATGTATTAAACAAAGCTCGTTAAAACTCTTTTATACCTGTGTTCAGCAAACAAAATGTCTATCCATAGTGTATTGTCACCATCAATACTTTATTTACGTTGATACAAAGCTAACATAAACATGCCTTAATGAACATTGACGTATAATATTCGTTATATCACAGTGGAATATAAAGAAGTATTGATTAAATATTCTCTTGTGTTTGTATATTTAAAAAAGGACCCTGTTAAGTGTGATTTAGATTTATGAGTGGAAATAAAACATTTCATTGATTCTGATTAAACTGTTTTAAGCATGTCTATATATCTATTATATCTCTTTTTAAATTCATTATATACCTCTAGAATTCCTTCCGTTACACATCGTTAACTAAAATATACTTTGTTAACTAACCATATGGTGCATGGTCAAGACTATTGTCATTCCACTTCCAATAACACATTAGCTGTCTGTTGTCTCATTGAGTGCAAGTTAGTTGGGGTTTTTTTAATTATTAATCAATAATATTGGATAGAAAGCTCTGATTATTTTCTTTGGTTTACGGGTCTTGGTTGTCAATATAATCAGATAGTCATACCCTATAAAACATTTTATTCCTATAACCCTTCCGATAGCGATTTAAAAACGAACGAGAAACGGTCAATTTTCAATTCTGGCAGACTATGCTGTCTTATCAAGTATCGTTATTCAAATTTGTATAGTTAACGCTGGATTTAAAACAAAACTTGTTAATTGTATATATTAATTGATCAATGAAATGCGAGACAATTTCATTGTATAGAATGATATTCTCGTCATGTTTTAGAATTGTGCCATGTGTAAATTCTTATCATAGGTAGCACCAATACAAAACGTACGTGAATCATCTGAGAGTTCTTTAAACGTTCTGGTAAGGCATAGCTTTTGAATATTCCTTTCATATTTACTTTCATATATCGTCCCTCAGTACACTGATAGATCCTTTAAGGACGAAATAGTCATATGAAACGGTTTTGTTGCTTATTGGACATATACAGACTTATTGACTGATGGCTTTATTGTGCAAAGTGCCTTTTCAATCATGTATGTTTTCAATATAAACAATTGGCAGGTTAAGAAAGGAACGCCGTTAAAAAGTTATATCAAAATAAAAGATATAGATAATATATTATTGAACGTGCAAATTCCTTCAAGAGTTTTTTTTTTTTTTTTTTTTAACGGATTTTCTTATTTCTTAAGATATTTCTTAAGATTTGTTTTTGTATACATACATATAAGGTACATCGATGATAATTAAAAGGATAATAGTGTGTTAAAATGATTCCTCTACAAGGGAATTCTTTGACTACCATACCCTGACGTGTTGTTATTGATTTGTACCTAAACGAACATATCAATATAATTTCCGTCTATTGTTCAGTCTAATTTGGTATTATTATTTTGATGTAATAATTACATGTTCCTATTTTTGCCAACGCAATTTAATTGTTCATGATAAATATTTGCGTACAGGCTTAACAAAGGCTTGCCATAATTTCACTTGCTCGTTATAAGAAATTTGCCAGCTTTTAGAAGAACCGACATCGGTCGATCAGTAAGTAGAACATATCCGTATATTCAACTTTTATACAATTGTTTGGCCTTCTAAGGTTAATGAGTTTAATGTATTTTGAATAGATTTATTGAACTAATTTACGCAAGTTGATGCCGCTAGAAACAATTCAGTCATTAATGTAAGGACATTGTACGACACCACGAAGACACAATGATGCCGGTGTTTAAGGTATGTGCATTACTTTTTTTTCATTGTAACAACTGTATTTAGAGATATAAAAAAAGATCTCCCTTTCTGATTTATTTTGATTTCAAACTTGTTAAACGTGACAAAATGTTTGACAAAAAGTTAGTGTAGGTATGCAACGAACAACATGTTTTGGCATCCTACATATCTAAACTTTGGACAGACAATTATACTCGTTACTTAAAGACATATTAAGCATATGCTGGAAAGTACAAACTTTCTAAAATCCTGTTGAACAATATCAGATATATATCATTTATCAACATACAGCAAATTACATTGTGTTCAACATTTTCTAAATTTTGCATTTTGCATCAATAACAGTATTATCAATATATATTTTTCATAAACCATCTCACGAAATAAGGAAAATATAGTCATATAGAGCAATGTCGTTTTTCTACATGTTAGCTTGTGGATGTTTTCCTTTTAGATATAACATTTCCACGTATAGAGAGTAAAAATCAATTTCCTAGTTCAATATCGAAAAAAACATATACACATTGTTTATGTAAAATTGAAGACGCTATTCTGTAATGTATCAAAACATGGTCATCAAACAGTTTACTTTGTAACTTTTATATGTGGAGCGAAATAGTTGAAAAATGAAGAAAAAACTCAATAATTCTATATTCGAACTAATTTGCAAAAATAAATCAAAGAAAATCAGTTCCTCAGTCACTGTCACTATAGGAAACCCTTGTATAGGGTTATGTATGAAACTGATAGAAATGATCGAAGCGCTCATTCCTTCTAGTAAGATACGAATTCATTGATTAATTGAGCACCTATATATTGGATAGGATATCTAGTCATTTATATGTAGTGTAGTATAAATTTTGAAGTATTTTTGTCAATAGAAAATCAATCAATCAATTCATATTATCTAAAAAGAAAAAACTATTGTTAAAATGGAATCCTGGAGCTTGCTTGCAGTCATTAAATGAAAGAATTTATAGACAGTAAATCATATTTGCTGGATAACATTCGTGTATTTCACCAATATTAGATAGCAATTTTCAAAATAAAATGGCAATGACAGAAAATAATTAAATAAACGCCTATTGCATTATGATTTTCCTGTGCCAATTTCAAATGTAACACCATTAGTAACGGGTATGACCACCGTTTGCGAAGTAAACAGCATTGCAGCGTCGTCGCATGGAACTCGTAAACCGGCGGATATTTCGAGGAGAGATGTTGTTCCATTCAGCGATCAAGGCTTAAGCCAGCTCCTGAAAGTTAAACGGCTGATTTTGACGTTCTCTCACGCGTCGCCTAAGAACGTCCCAGAGATGCTCAATCGGTGACAAACCAGGTGATTCAGATGGCCAATCTAACACCTGTACGTTATTCTGCTGCAAGAAAGTTCTGCTGACGCGACTGGTGTGCGCTGGTGCGTTATCCTGTTGAAAAATGGCGCCAACGCCATGGCGTCTTAAGAATGGCAGAACCACTGGTCTTAAAATTTCTTCACGATATCGAATGCCGGTTAAATTGCCATTTAACACAACAAGCCTGGTACGAGTCTCCCAACAAATACCACCCCAAACCATTACACTTCCGCCGCCAAAGTGGTCCCGTTCTGCGACGCAGCATTTCGCAAAACGCTCCCCTCGTCGCCTCCACACTCTGAGCCTTCCGTCACCGTGTTGCAGACAAAACCTGGACTGATCTGAAAACAGAACATTGTTCCATTGTCGTAAGGCCCAACGACGGTGAACACGGGTCCAGTTACGCCGATTATTACGGTGATGTCGCAACAAATTGAGTCCAGTGTAGAGACGCCGCGCTTTCAATTGTTAGGCCCTCAACCTGTTGCGGACTATTTGGGGAGACACACGACGCCCAAACAATGTTCTTGTTGTCTCTACTGCGGTTACGAATCGATTGCGCAAGTGTATCAATCGTATACGAAGGTCATCCCTGGCGGTCGTTTTACGGGGTCGGCCGCTTCGGGGACGATCGGCTGTTGACCCATTTGGTTTAAACGACTTACCAACAGGCAAATTGTCTTAGCACTGCAACCAAAATGCCGTGCAACTCGACGGCGAGACTCCCCAGCCTGGATCATGCCTACAGCCCTACTCTCTGTACTTGTAAAAGCCAGGGCATAATGATAAAGTTGATAGATAGCAAGATTCGGTGATTTCTAAGTCCTAAGGATCTAAGGAACAGTTGTCAGTTTGAATGTTTATGAAATTCAAGCGAAGATACAAGTTAGTCGCAGAAAACCTCGTGCAGCTCTTTCACTAATACAGACTTTCACGATTGAATGATTTTGGTAACCCCCTTGGATTTTGTAATGTAAATCATTACCATTTTCTAATATTGCACAAACGTCATTTTCTTTTCACTCATTTACAGGTATTCGCAAAGGAAACATGTTAACCTTTCTTTTTTTGTTGAGTATATATACAAATCCAAGCCGGTGCAATCACTTTCTCTAATATGCTACTCTTTGACTCTTTTTAGAACGTTTTGATCATTTACAAATGAATTTGAGATGTTATGATATAAACTTAATGATAAGTTAATAGAAAAATTCGTTATAAGAGGCCAACATGTCAAACCAAATATTAAATCATTGATGATTAATATTTATATCTTCATTACTGAATATATCTAGGTTATCGTATGTATTGATACATAGTAACGTAAAAGGAGCAGGACAAATATCTGTTACCTCTAAGTTGGCACCGAAACGATGAAGAAGGAGAAAATGCTGAACGTGAGAATTTATCATATAGTGAGTGCTTAGTGATAGTCCCGGTATGAATCAACAATAAATCTCGAGTTTTATTTCTAACAGATGTGGATTGTGATAGCTGTCTTTGTTGTGACTGTGCTGGGAGACTTCGGTAAGTGGCAGATACTGTTATTTTCAATCGTGAGTTCTCTCACGGTGAAATATCAGTGTATGAAGCCGGTGTTGAAAGTTATTGCTTTTCAATATGAAACAAATGTGGTTACCAAACGTATCGAATACGGCTCTGTGACGAATAGAATCCACATTGAAATTGAAAGAGAGTGTGCGAATTCTTTCAATTAGCATACATATGTACCACACTTACGTTAAATGGCCAGTAAATGGTGTGAAAATAAAGAATATTTTGCTTAAGTGGGTTTGTAGAAGAAAAGCCGAGACATTTTTCGGAAAAATAAAGAATGTTTTCATTAAGTAACTATTGAAAGTTATGTCACTATTGAATGTTAGAATTTTGACGTTTGTTTCGTTACTTTGCTATTGTCATGTTTTGTTGTGATATCTGGATTCTACAGGAAGTATACTTCAAACATCTGTTCCGGTTTTCAATTCTGACATGTTATTGGAAAATGAGACTATTACAACCTTACAAACTACGAGAGAAATTTTGAAAAGTGACATCAACGTGACAGACACCAATCTCGGTGAATCACTGGTAAACCTTTAAATACTAGAGTTTTGTTTATATACATGTACCAGTTCATACCGTGTCGTGACTTATTACGTATACATATTTGTTTCCAGTTTATAGCTTTATATATCAGATAATATATTTATATATGTGTTCAAGTTCACTGCAGAACAATTCGACATAACTGCATAATACGTACATTTGATGACAATGTATGAAAACTCTTATATAAGCTTTTTGAAATGTGTATAAGTGTGAAAGTAATTGCCTTTTTTACTTTCTTAGTGCTGAATACTCGCTCTTAATCACAATTGTTTTATTGTTATTTGCAGTTGGAAATCAATGGTCTTTTGGACAATATAATTCTAAAATACAAATACAATGCTCCAGTGGAAACAGATGTTTTGTTGCACATTGCAAATGGTAAATTGAATGAAGCTGTTGTTAATATTTGTTTATCGATGACATTCTTCACATTTCTGGTAGCAAAAGGAGCTGAGCTATTTTACAATCTCTCGCTCCTAACTGTTATGTCTTTCAACTATTATCGAATTATGGATTTAATCTTGACTGGCACTTCAGGTGTATTATTAATTTATGGGTTTGTAATGTTATTGGTCATAAATGAGTGGTATACCTACTGCTGTCAGCCAATGTTTGTTATTGCTATTTTCTGAGAAGTTACGATTATTTTCAGATGTTTGTTCCCTCTTCTACTTCTTTATGCATGTTTAATTTTGAAACAAATCGAGAAAACAATACAGCCGTTATGTTCCAGTTTCCTTTCAGACCCACGTTGTGCAAGATTATGTTTTGAAACAGCGATTTATATACAAGGATTTACCAACTTAACAAAATACGGGGACAGAAAAGAAGTGAGGAGATGAAACCGCTTGTGTTAAAATGTCAACATAATTACCAGCTTTTAGTAACTCTATTTAATAGTTTGTAAATATTTGAGCTAATGAAGTACTAAAAAAGGATGATGTATACAACAGCAAGTTGCTTTTCAAATTAACTTTACACATAAAAGGGTATTTGTCCCCACATTTCCTGTGGCATAATTCTCCCCCTACCCCTCCCCAAATCAAGCGAAATGGTGTTTTTTTTTAAATTATTCTCTGTTAGTTTAAACATTGATTGTTTTCTTCGTTTACTTACAGAACTGATTTTATTATCAGAGACTATCCTGACAGCTATACAAAGTCTTACCTGCACTGACGGATCATCTAACTGTACTTACGACAGTCTAACGGTAACATATCTTTATTCAAGTTAACATATTGTGTTACATGTTTGGATCTGATTTCGTTAAGGACACAGCAATATGAAATGGCTTGACTTTGTTTTCTATAACATTTCTGACATGGGAGCTAACGATATTTCCGGTTCAAGTGTTAATCTTCAAAGCTATATTTGATTAACATTAATTTGATTCACAATACTTTCAAATACATAAGGAAATTTGAAATTAACACAAGTTTTTAATTCACATGAGGTGTTAGGAAACAAGATTTGAAGGGGTTTTTTGATCACATAAGAAAGCAATTTTTTATAAAGTTTTAAGGTTAAAATGTTGATGACAAACCCAAAGGTAGACATTCGCTTTGTAGTTTTTATGACGTAACGTTATTGCCCATATTATGATTTCACAATTGATTTCTGACTAGCACTGTCTATGAATAAACGCTCCAGGGTACATTGCACTTGTGACATATACAAAAACATTACATGGGCAAATTCATTGGACAGCAGACCGATTATGTGATATACAAAAATGCTAGTAATAAAATGGCAATTTGCGAAACTCAACACTGATGGTACACCGTACTTTATAATGTGATGCACTGCTTTGTTTTTGCATTATGCAAAATGTTCCATGTAGAGTTTTGTTTTACAGTTTCATCCGAAAAGGAACATATTCGATTTTTTATTCACAGTCATGCAGAATTTTTATATATATATTTGTTGCATTATTGATGAAGGACACATATGAATTAAATAAATATTTATTGTAAATTATTTACCTTGTGATCTGGTAAATCAGTGTCAAAATTTAAAATATGCCAATATTTATTCATGCATAAAGACGAAGTTTCAGACATACATTATTCAAGCTGAAATTGATACCGGCGAGAATGTCAATTGTTAGAGAACCCTTTTTTTCATGGAAAAGTCCCAAGAAAAGATCAACGCAACAGAAGAGAGGCTGATCCAACTCCTCGATCTTATCATCTGTGACTACAACCAACTGACTGAAGTGGAGATCCAAAATGGCACTATGATGCTGGCTGCTGTCAGGGACAACGCTGCGAATATATCAGAAAGGGTTACCAAGTACAGTAGTACGCTGAATGTCCCTTACTTCAGTCCCAACAGCACCGAGCATATTGGAAGGGAACTCTATTTATACGTAAATACATTAGCTTTATTGCACTGTCTCAATATATGCTGTATTATTAAGAAGTATTATCCATAAGAAAAGTAATGACAAAGAAAACTTTGATAACACGTGAGTCGTATTACAGGAAATATTGAGCTTTGAATAACCTTTGAATTTACCTAAAACACATCTCATTCAGAGACGTATTTTATTCTTTCTTCTAAGGTCATAACTTACACCGAAAACAAGTATATCTATGCAGACAACAGGCGAAAGGTCAACTCGGGTACCACCCGCCTCATCATCCGAAATAAGGATGGCGAATATATCGACCTATACAGCCACTTAGATCAACTTCAGGTAAATTTACTAATATATATTAATTTTTTTATTAATTGTTTGTACATTGTTTGTAAAACAAAAGCATGTGGTTGAGAGAGCTTAGGGGGCATGTCGTCTTAAAGGTCAAAGGTTAGTAACCACCTATTGTTGAACAGGTAGTGGAGTTGGTGGAGGTCTCGTGCAAGGAAACGCACGTGACATAAGTGTTAATACAAGGCACAGGTGATTATTGGACAGCAATTTGGGTTCGAGTTATTCATTTTTTGCTTTGAAATAGTATACGAATGATATAATAATATGTTTCTATTTATTTTTTCAAGATGGTGGTGAGGGAGAGCAACGTTTTGAATGACAGGACTTTTTGGACAGATATTGTTGACGTCATTACAAATGAGACCTTTGTTCTAAATGCAACATTTTATAACAACATGGACGGAGCATTAATGAATGTCGAAATCAAAGCCATAACACCGTGCAATGTAACTGGATATGATGCAAGCAGTGGAGGGCAAGATCTTCTTCTCGATCTACACCTTGTTTCTGGGTCAAATATGACTATATCACAGCAACCATCTAATCTAAAAATAACATACCAGAACCAATCATTAGGTATTGTTTTTGTACCACCTGATATAGGAGACATGACATCATTTGATTTGTTCTTCAATTGTGAAGGTAAGAAGATTGCATTAACAACATTTTTGATGTAGTTCGCAAATGTTACCGCAATTATCAGGTATCAAGTCGAAAAGCGTATAGATGACGTCGACACCCTGTAGTTAACGCATTCATCAAATGATTTCAGTTGTGATATACGTGTTAAAATATTACGTTTTAAGTTTAAAATTGTCGCTTATGCCTTTTTTTTTCAGTGTGCCTTTATGGACAGATGTCATTTTTAATAGTTCTGTCACGGGAAGTCACTAGAAATGACTATGATTGTGCAATGAACTTTGTAAAGGGCATGATTGATTATCTAAATCTTGAATTTTCGCTCCACGTTTTTGGTACGTACCTACAGACAATATTCACGTTTGATTACCATGTTAACAGTTCTATGGATGTCAATACCTACTACAATTTAAGCAGTATATCAAAGAGCGGTCTTTACAATGCGAATCTTGATTGGGCCTTGAACAATATGACGTCATTCGTAATGGCCAATGCTAACTGGTCAAAACGACAGTTTCTAGTTCTCATAACCGATGGATATTTTGACGTGAATTCAACACTAGATGATGTCGTCAATGAGGCGTCCGTTCTCCATAACTTGCCTGTTACTATTGTTGGAGTAAAATACGGTACGTACTCCGTTAATGCGTTCAACTTAGAGATGATAGTCCACACTCCTCCGGAATGGTATATTTTTACCTTAGGCAGGAACCCGTACACAGCCGTGAAGACGTTGGCGCTGCAGGAGCTTATGGGAAACATTTGCTACGGTAAATTTAAATCAGTTTAAACCGAAATTGAATCAATGATAATGAAATTCTGGGGTTTTTTTTCTAATACATAATTTTATTTCTTTTTGGTCCACATATTGACATGATAATTTCAAATTGATAACATATACTTTTCAATGTATTTTAATAATTACGATTCATTACAATTCATTTTCTTTATCTAGAGAATAAAGCATACTGGTTAACTGAAAAGGTTGCTCAAAGTACGCCATTTTTTGTGTTATTTCTTGTATTTTATTAACACAAAACTGTCTATAAGCAATTATCTCGAATTTTTTATATCGTTTCATGAATGGAAAGATGCCCCTTATTGAAGGCACAATTGAATTACATCTATATATTGTCTTATTATTAAAAGGCAACAATTTATTATTAAATTATTGTGATTGTTATTTGAACAACCAAAAATGGCGTCCATTGGATAAATCGTGCATTCAATATTGCATTTTGTATCGAGTAAAATTGAGAACTCTCTCCAAATGGTGTTTACATGAATACAACCCCAAAGTATATGATAAATATCTTCGTCCTCAAAATCACAAAAGCTGCATCTTTTACTATCTTTAATACCGATTCTATAAAGGAATGTATTTGTACATAATATTCTATTATTGATTTTGAATTGAAAAGTCTGCAAAATTACATCATTTGAACATGTTCATGGTATTAAATAAATTCTATTCCAGTCAATTTCTAAGTTTTGAATATCCTGTGACCACTTTTCCATTGCTTTTACATTTTCAGAAATTATTGTGGTACAAAATTTTGAATAAAAACTTTTTGTTGAACAGCATTACTGCCATAATTACGAGTTAGTCTTTTCCATGATAATGAAATTCTTGCTGTGACCAGGTATACATTAGTACCGATAACATACAGAGAACGTATCAATATTATTTTCATAGTGTTCTAAATTACATACATGGAACAGAAGTTTATGGTTATTGAATCAGTGTATACCAAACATTGTATTGATTAAACATTATTCTTTAGTTGAAAACAAAATGCCATTTTACAATTCTTCTGATTTTCATAGGAGACTTTTGGAACAGAGACTATAATAAAATGAGATTCGGGCGTGTATCGGCTTTTGCACTCAATTACACTTCAAACAAGTGGGAGAGGTCAACCGACATCAAGGTAATAACGTCAGAACTCTAGCAATTATTGAGTTTTATAACTTGTTAAATATCACAATTTTCAAGCAATATCAATGAACTAATACAAAGTCAACATAGTTAATTGTATCTTTGTATTATTTTATTGGTGTATTGTATAGATTATATAAGGCGTATCAACACACTCCTTCGGTTTGCTACAGGTATTCATTTTCTCCAACGAGAAACTGAAAATATTTGAAATTCTTTAGTCATAACAAGTATTCTGAATTATTTATAAAATTGAAATGTATCTCCACCCGAGAAAAATACTTTATTGTCTAACCCGGGGATTTCGCTGAAGTAGGGTAGGACAGAACAATCTTATCTCAAGGAGAAGAGTTTTTACTGTCTTAGCCGGGGATTTCATAGCTGCAGAGTAGGACAGAACAGCCTCTATTCGATTAGACTATATAACCTACGATTTTGCAGGTAGTAGGGCAGAAAACCATCTCCCCGAGGAGAAAATATTTCACCGTCTGACCCTTTATACTTTAACCGTTTATATTTCTTTCTGTTATGTTCGGATATTGTGTGGCGTTAAGCCATCAGTTTACAAATTTGAATTTCGGTCTATTTTTTATCATTGGCCTATGTTTGTGACTTAAGTCTGTTTAAAACTTATCCCTCCTGTCATATCAGTATATGAGAAGGTGCTGGAACATCATGTCGCACCAGACTTTGTCTTTGATGTGTTAAGTGGTACAATACAATACTACTGAGTTGTTGTTACTTATTTTAAGTCATATCTTCTATACTATACCATTTACATTCATTCTAAACTAACCATGTATTACATTTTTTATCAAAATCGTTCCTAAACTATCACTGACTTTCTGCTAACTTCTTGGTGTTCATGGTGATAAATTATGCAAGGTTTATGGTATTTCAGATGAAAGATATTTCGATGGAAACAGAAACGATTACTTTCCAGAGTAATTTCCTTGGTACGTTTGGATCTAATGTCTTTGTTCTTCCTCCCGAGCTGATCAACTTTGATGAACTGTTTGTGGACTTTGCGGCCAAGCTTGCTGATACCCCGTATGTCCTTGCTGTCAATGTTACCTGTATGGTTTTATTGGTCTTGTTGACAATTATTCTGCGGCACTGGGACACACAAGATAACGTTTTGGTATGTATTAATTGTACGCAAAGTCTACCGGCACTACGGTAATCAGGATAATGATGGTGATATGTTCCAGATGCATTTTGTTCTGCAAGAAAAATGCATTGATAGGGATTAAAATGAAATTTTACGCTGCCTTCATGTAACCAACACGTATCATGTATACATTAAAGCAAATGCTTACCTGTTGAACTACTGTTTTCCAACTCATTTAGACTAATACCTCTGCTAGGAATTTAGACTGTAACTGTTATTCTATATAGTACATTAATAGTGTAACAGTTGAATGTGAAAACATTGGAATTATATTATAGGGTTGTTGACACAGGTAATTATTTATGTAATTATTATATTAAAATTCTTTTAAGGTCAAGTTTTTGGAATCAACCATCAGCAAAAATAAAAAACAGCCATGCAATGTCGATAAAATAGATAAATTCGTTCAATTGTAGTATTTCTATGGAGACGTGTTGTGCTGACAATGCAACAAAAAATTCTTTGAGAAAAATGATCAATTTATCAAAAACAACTCATTTCAAATTGCTTTATCATTGTTAGTCTTCAACTTGTGAATTTTTTAATCTTAATAACTAATTCAAATATTCCTTTAACATGACTTTTCTACTCTAAAATAATCTGATATCGACATTGGCAATTTAAGCCAACATTATATTTGCAAACAGAGAAAATATTTTGTTGAAAGTGCTGGAGTTTTCCATTCATGCCAGTTTTTAAGCGTTATATATTACAGTGGAACTACCAATCACTTGCGGACAACAACAACAGTGATAAGTATTCATACTTTCTGTCATTCTACACGGGATTCTGGTCTAGTCGAAGACTCTCCGCAACACCCTATATTATCCTCAGGGGATCACGTGCTACTACTTCGATAAGAATCTTACAAGATGTGAAAAGAGGGGTAAGATGCATCATCATTAATTTTCAATCTATTAAGTAAAACCTGAAATCACTACTTTCTATTCTATAAACATTACCCAAATTGTTTTTTATGTTTTTGTTTTCTTCAATAAACAATGCATATTATAAAGACTTCATTCAGACCATTATAAAAAACAATTAACCTAATTTAAATGTGCAACGTTAATCTCACTTCCTGTTTTGCTGATCGGGTCTAATTGTATACATTTTGGTATTCCAAGAAAGACAAAATTTCGAGATTTCATTTTGATACTGTAGGTTGTATTTTCTTGCTCATCAGATGTTATCAATATGGTATTGCAAATCGCATTTTTCGAGTTTTCAGTTATGTGAAAATTGTTCCATTGTTAAACCTGTAGAAGACAATGTAGATATGTAATATGTTATGTTGATTGTTTTCTTTCCAGGGTAATAGAAACCGTATACTTTGTTTTTGCTTTCGTTTTTTCTATTTTGTTTTTGCGACGACATATACCTACATATGATGCTATGTTCTAACAGAATTTCCAGCGTTGGACTCTGCAGAATTTCCTACTGAAAACTGATAAAAATCTCGGAATCTTATGCGAGGTAGAAATAGGACATGACGGAAAGGGTGATTCTCCTGGATGGTTCTTAGAAAAAATCCTTGTTTATGATAGTGTAAACAATGAAAAGTATGTGGATGCCTTTTTCACGCCCTCTCCTATTCTCTTGAATCTTTTATAACTCTAAATTTGAGTTCTTTACCTCGAAAAAATATGTAATATTTTGAATAACATGTTTTTAAATACAAATAACTTTATGATAAACACAGATATAAAACGATAGAAATATCTTTCAAGATAGTAAAAGGTGTAAAAGATAGCTTCATGAAAAAATAGATTAAGATTTACATTGGTTTTGACAGAAACATATTCCTGTGTGGCAATTGGCTGTCCCCAGATCGAGGAGACTGTAAATTACATCGGAAATTGTATACAGCGCGAACTGAATTGAATGAAGGACGTGTACTCTTTGGTAGCAATACGAAATTCAATCTATTTGACGACTTTTTGCTGTTATCGTTATTCAGTCGACCTTCTTCTAGCAGATTCACAAGAGTCCAGCGTTGTGTTTCTGTTTTTGCGATGTTGTTTTTAACAATGTTAGCAACTGCGATGTGGTACAGAACGTTAGACGATGCCCAGACATATGGAATTCATGTGGGTCCTTTTCATCTGAACTATAAACAATTTTACGTCGGTTTCATGTCTAGTTCCATCACGATTTTACCGGGGATTTTAATGGCATGGATTTTCCGAAATCGTTATCAGAAGACCGACCATTTGTTGTTAAACAAAGGCTTCTTGCCATGGTGGACCGTTATCATTGGCTATGTGTTTGCTTTTTCTTGTATTATTGCTGGTGCAACATTCACATTCTTCTACAGTCTACAATGGGAAAGGGAGACAACTGTTGATTGGTTGATGTCTTTCTTTCTTGGAACTACTCACGGCGTATTATTCATAGAACCGATAAAGGTACGTAACATCTCCATATATACACATTAACTGTATCAGTTCTCATTAAGGACAAATTTTGATAAAGTCAGAAAATATTACAATCGATTGTTATCATTTGATTAATGTTTACAATGCAAAATTGAAATAAATTTAATCATTTTTATCTTTCAATTGAAGAGTGCAAAGTACCATGCCTGACATTTGAATTTGCTTTTACCTCTTGCTTTCTTAATCCATTATTAAATCATATATTATATAGGTTGTACTACTAACATTGTTGGTAGCATTTCTGTGCAAGAAATATGCTAAGCGTGATTTGGAGGAGATGGCTACCATTCGCATGTCAACATATTCCGTAACTCACGAAAAGGACAATGAAAACAGAGAGAATGGTATTCTGTTTAATTCACTTTTGTGAAAAGGGTTTGTTTTCGCATATAATTTCGATACAGGTTTACATGTATGAATTACTTGGTATCTATTATGATTTTAAGATCAGTGAATTCAGCCGAGAAATATTGAATGACTTACATAGAAATTAGTGTAATCTTGAATACTGTTTCTGTGTCGATTGTTAATTATTTAACTTCTTTACTTTGACAGAGCAAACACAGTTACCTGCCGATCAGTTACTTGCGGACACAACTGACACAAGAAGACGAAAAATGGCTCATAGAAAAACCCTTCTTGATAGAAAACTATTAACATTATACAGATCTCTGTTGATTAAAACATGTTACATTACACTTTTGACAATAATTTGTGCTCATAATGCAGTCTGGACGTCCTTTCTACAAAACAGTGCTCTGGAAAACCTCCTCACTCCAGCACAAAAAGTAAGTGTGATACTGAATCCACTCTGATTTAGAACATGCACGCCAGGGGTATAGTAAAATGAAAGAATTATGGAACAGAATCTTATTTAAGATTCTTTATCTCTCGCCTTAAACTATCACTTTTGAAATCATACTGATATTATTTTCAAAGCTCTACTATACATTGAGAGTGTAGAAAACAAAGAACACAAACCAAAAGCGAAAAGTCATTCAAACAGTAAAGTACACATATTAAACGATACTCAACTTGAAATATTGACGCTCTTACGCTTCTCATTTAGATCAACACATCAGATGATATCTGGTCTTGGTTGAGAGGAAGACTAGCTGATCATGTGTTCCCAAAATTCTTTTACAATGGTGACTTCCGATTGACAGAGGAACGACGTTATTTGTTTGATGACGTCAGCTACCGAATTAGCTCAATGAGACTCCGACAAGTAAGAGTCAATGGTAAGACGATATTTAATACCTCAAAACAATGAAGAAAGCATACACATTTAAAACCATTCATAAAAGTGTGAATAAAATGTCATTAATATTTTATATGATTTAAGCGGCGTCTTAGATACACATTACGAATGAAGTAAGAGCATAAAAATATGAACATTTTCTTTTATCAGGAAAGTGTGACGTTCCTGCGTTTCTAGATGCATTGATTACTATCTGCCCACCTAGCTATTCCAGAAACAACATGGACACCACAAATTACTGCGCAGGTGATACGTTCAGCTTATTAATACCATCACTAGGATAATTACATTTATTGTGCATTTTTATAGCGTTTCTTTATTGTTACAAAGCTTTATCATTTATCATGTCGATATTTACATTCAAAATATATCACAATGTCTTCTTATTTCTTGTTTTTGATTCTTTGGATTGATATCAATTCAAATCATCCACATTCGCCTTATTGGTTTCAACATCTGGGCTTTTAGGAAGGGAGGTTGATGTATATAAAAGGTGTTATTTTCTAGTATGTCTTTGTTTATAATTCATGTATCCTATCATAACAAAATAGTCTTTTTTTTTTTTTTTTGTTAATAATCAAGTATTTCAGAAAAAATCGTGTATTTATTACATTCAAACTTCGACGTTATTTCCTGCAATGACGCATACCGATTCGATTCTGTAATGTCAATTTGGATGATTATCATAAAATCGTGTTCATGTGTCTGTATCATTAATAACACTTTCATGCTCTAGAGTTACTGTTTCTGTTGTTACAAATATGCTAATGTCTATATGCTTTCTCATCTTTAATAAGATATTAATTATGGCTTTTTGTGATGTTGAGTTTTTATTTTTGGAAATTTAGCAAAAGTGAAACAATGACAAATTTTAGTCTTTCTTAAAAACTTGAGACATATAGCAATACCCATAAATACAATTCAATTATAACTGAGAGGATGTATTCAGCTTTTCTAGAGTATTCTATGACGATTTTACATTGTAAGAAGTTCTAATTGTAATTTTATGTTCTGTAAAGTCTAGTTTAAGAATAACATTTTCAAGTATAAGTCTAGTATTCTTTACCAACGTTAGGCAAATATTTCTATCTTGATTGATTTAGAGAATATGATCGTAATGATATCAGAACAAATAACATTTTGTCTTTATGACTATATAGGCTGGATTCCAAGAAATAACAGAAATTGCAAGGGTACTGAATGGACATATAAATCAGATGATGAAACAAATGCTCTTCCAACAGCAGGGCTAGAAAAGGTTTACAACGGAGGAGGATACGTGAAGTTACTTGACCCAGAACTCAACATTTCAGATGTCCGAAATGAATTATATTCCATGCAATCCAACAACTGGATCGATAAATTCACACGATTCGTTGTCATAGAATTCATGTTGTTCAATCCAAATTCCAAACTTTTCTCTCTCCCTAAATTAATGATTGAAATACCTGCAACTGGAGGTTTTTTCACTAATATCAAAATAAAAACAACCAGACTATACCCATACATCGACGTATTTGATTTTTTTGTATTGGGAATCCAGGTGATATTCCTATTCATCACATTCAGCCGATTCCTGCACTTGGTTTACTCGTCCTGGAAGCTCGGAAAATATTGTTGTACGATTGCGCAATGGATATATTTGTTGAGTGTCGGAGTATCGATAACATCGATAGTCTTTTATGTAATTCGAATAGACAGAACTGTCTACACAGTAGAAGAAATCAACAACTCACCTGGTAAGTGATAATCAGGACGAGGACCACATTAACCAAGATTTATAGATGTGAACATGCTAAACACAAAAAATATGTCACTTTTCAATAATATAGATACAAAAATTCTAAGTATTCGGAAATAATGTGCTAAATCTATGCTTAAAACAAAACTGTCAACTCAGAATTGAGCATTTTTATAGATTGTTTTCAATTCTGTTCTTACCAATGTTAATCAAGGAATTATTACACAATTAAAATCAAATAATTTGAATATTCAGTGACTGCAGGGTATACGTTTATTTCCCATACAGGTAAATTTGTCTCCCTTGATCTCCTTGATCTGATGGATACTTCATACAAGGTATGCATAAGCCTTGAACTTTTCATAGCAGTGATCGACTTGCTGTCTCCGTTGACCTTGAACCACAGCCTCTATTTAATGAGAACTTCGGTATCGTTTTGTGGTAAAGACCTGGTTTATTTGGGTTTAGCGTCGATGATACCAATGACAGCCTTTGCTATTCTTTGCTATTGCTACCTTGGTCCACATCAGGCTGAGTTTAAAGATATCAGTTCTTCATACACTACCTTATTCCGTACTCTACTCGCCATGATCAAGGTACAGGACACTTTTGATTCGGATGATATCTTTTCCGGTTTAATTTTTTCCGTATTTTTACTCCTGATGACCATTGTAGTGGTAAATGTAAACATTTGTATATTGAACGCTGCTCTATCTCGTGTGAAAGAGACGGGTCTCGTGTCAACGGAATTTAAAACATATGACAAAGATCTCCAAAAGCATTTCTGGAGGACAATCAACAATACTTTAAAGATGTTTCAACGAAGACCAAAGAGTAAAAAATACGAGATGAATATTGGTAAGTTTTAAACTTAAACTTCAAATTTCAGTTAATTTTATACAACAGAACAAGAGTTTAAAATAATACAAAATATAGAAAACTAGAGCTGTAGGTAAGATAGCAAGACGTCGTTTTGCCAACAATGTGAAATGAGAAATTATGTACTGCTAAATGACGGCAAATAGTATATAATGACATAAATAAATGTCATTTATATATTAACATGAAACTCCAGGTGCCTTAATTTACAATTTAAAAACGATTTGAAATTATGAGATATATAAATATATCGATTATAGATGTTTTTTAGGTGCTTCATATGTTAGTCAGAAAGTTTGTTTCTATAAAATATTATATCGATCTATATCATGGATTTCTTTAGGTACGTCGGTACTTTCATACAAATTTATCACATTGACCCAAGAGTTACATCTCGTGTATCAGTTACCTCCCCTGTAAACAGTTTCACGAAATAAAGGGAAGAGAATTTCTTATCTCTACATTGTCAAATATTAGAGAACAAAGTAAATATTACTAGGTAACTACATTTTTATAGCAATCATAACAAATTTATATCAATTGACATTTCGACATAGCACTATTGACAGAAAAATGGACAAAACATTAGTGGTGCGATTCTATCAGTAATTGGATAATGATTAATACGGATGAATTGAATGTAACTGAAAATCAGTTTCATTGACGCTGAATAAGTAGATTGCAAATTACTTCAAAATTTTTCAGAAGTAATGGAAAAGTTATTATCGTAACATATGCATTTTTGTTTGTGTAGCAACGAAAATGCGTTAAAACTAAGTAGTGCTTCAATATACAATAAGCCGATAGTTGAGTAAATTTGTTCGAGATACCCTTCGATGTTTACGTGTTGTGGATGTAAATGCAGGGAACGTTGATAGGTTTCTTCATGTTTTAAAATAATCACATGGTTCCGGGATATTGTCTATACATCACATCTGTAGGATATGCTATGATACTATATTTATGATGTTACAACAAAAATATCAACACGAAATTTAAATTCTTTAACAGTAATCTGCTTACATTTTCAGATAACACCCATATTTGGAATTTGGTCATTACCCTTGACAATCAGGTTAGTTTATTCAGGAAAAATGTAAAAAGCATTTTTATTGTCATTAATACAGAAAACGTCTTTCTCCTGTATCATGAGATTTTTTTTTATCTATCAGTAATTTTCATACATTGGAATTTGAACAATGTCTTACTGTTTAACGCCGAGTGTAAATACATACTGTAAAATTGTATATCTTAACGATAATCTTATTTTGGCGCTTTTCCCGCTGAAAGTATTGCGCTGAACTATTATTGTGCTGATTGCAATTTCTGAAAGCTGCTTATACAATTATTATTGTGGATGCGTAAATTCATCATCACGCTTATTTGCCAAAAATGTTATTATACGATAGAATTTAAATCAAGCATGTTTATAGTGTACATTATTACGTTGACGTCAATAGCAAACATATTTCCTTTCTTCATCTCAATATTATTTCGAAAAATATTACAAAACTCGTATTTCTATCAGGTTTCCGAAAATATGTTTATAGAAACACTTCTGAAATTAATGAATATCTTATATATTGAACTGAATATCATTAAAGTGATCTTCTGTATCAATTTACAGATTTTCAAAGTCCTTGGACATTTGGAGCAAGCTCATGTAGATGATGTGGAAGACCTTGAAGCGTACATTCATGTAAATATTTTTACAATGAAATAAACAAATTGAAACACATTTCATGTATTCTCCCATTTAACTATGTAATGCACTGATTACACTCTTAAACGGTATGTTAATGTGTACTTCCGTGAATCTACTAATGTATTGTTCTCATCGTTGTAACAATTGTTTACATGCAAGGATTCTATTGCTGCAAACACCATTGTCGACCTAAAATGATGAAGAATAGTTCAATTTGTTAGACTATGTCATCAAATCTTTACGAAGGTTACATGAACTTAATTAATAATAAATGACTTTAAAATATTTAATTTAATCACTTTAAAATCGCTTGATGTTTTAAAGCGTCACAATAGATTTCAACAATTATTAACGGAACATAAGGAAAAGTACCATGTTCGTGATCGCTGTATATGTTCATCGATCATTTCAACTAAAATGTATTAACACACTTATTATATTAGTAGACACCAAAGATTTGCTGAATATCCGAAGTATAACATTGTTATACTTATTGCACGTGTATATGCTTAAGTGCATCTGCGGTAAATAAGAATGGATAGGAGGGAGGGAGTGGGGCAATATCTCTAGTATAACGTGGGCCTTATGTGAACGCAGTTAAGATCAGGGATGCGACTTGATTCCTTTCCAGGAATGGCAGTGTTTCTCAGAAATCTGAGATCACAGAGAACCCTTGATATAGTGTTCGAGTCGTGTCCAAAATCAATGTATGTGACACTCTTTATCAGTTCTTTAATTACTATGCGCCAGGCATTCTGCACAACGTTCTGTTAAGTAGTCTTTAGCTACATCAAAGAGATTCGCCTCAAAAAGACCTTGGTTGATCGAGGCCTTGGGCGATAAATGAAAGAGTTCTTGGAGCCTTAAGCATCTAATCACTTGTACAAGTTAATTTACATTTGATGTTAAAACAATAAAACAAAACAATACACGGTAAGCAAATATAAATATATTTTTGAAAGAAACTGTAGGTCGTACAAATAACACACAAGTATATAGCTTATTTTCCCGGATAGGCTTATTTTTAATGTCGGCTTGTGCTCGATGTTAGGGTATTTTTCCAACCTTCAGAACAATTACAATATCTACAGAAAGGTTATCAGATAAATATACATAATTTAAAGTAAAGTGATTTTTTTTTCTTTTTTGCAGCTGCACAAAATAATAACTAAGCGCTTCACATGATGAAATACTGTATGTTAATATAGTGCATCTTCTGGTCTGACGAATCCAGGATTAAGAAACAAAGCGAGACTCTATTCATGCTGCAATGATGCTGTCGTATGCTTGTGTGACAGATACCGATCAAGAAAATTAATTACTGGATAATACGATAGGACTAAGAAATCTAATTATGGACCTTTCAGTGATATTATCAAATGAAATATCAGTGTCAAAAGTGAAAATATTCATATTATGATTGGTTTTCCCTATAACAATACCATACAAGACTGTATCGCTACACGTGGAATCTTCGGCGCCTTTTGATCTTAATATCGATTAGTGTGTTCACAAGACGTTGATATTTCATATGCATTGTTTGTCAACCTAGTACAACAATATATTGTGCTTAGCAACTATTATGCAATGATTATAGATTTTGCCTTTATTGGTGAAAAAAATTACTTTAAATTTCAAATTAAATGGTTTAAAAAATCGGTAAGTGACGCGAACAATTATATCAATTGACAGGTACGAAATTTGTTCTTATGTGTTAATAGAGACTGTGAATATATATATAACAAATTATATGTCAAGTGTGTATGTTTAAGAGGTATGTGTTATTTACTTACAATGTAGACCGTAGAATGCGCTTGACACCTTTCTTTGAAAAGAAACTGATAATGGCCACAGAATAATCGTTTCGTTTGTATTAGGCATGGGAGTGAAAAGAATGCAAAAACAGGGTCAAGAATTTCGTGGATATCACATCAATATACGCATAATTCTTTTATCTGAAGTTTAATGCGTCGGCTCTATATTCGTTGTATGCTTGTAGCCATTACAAACGTTTCTACATGTCGGACATTTAATGTCATGCGATAATAATTAGTGCTATTTTTATCTAGAAATGCTTATAACCCTCCCAATTCTCTCTCTCTCTCTCTCTCTCTCTCTCTCTCTCTCTCTCTCTCTCTCTCTCTCTCTCTCTCTCTCTCTCTCTCTCTCTCTCTCTCTCTCTCTCTCTCTCTCTCTCTCTCTCTCTCTCTCTCTCTCTTTTGTTTAGGATGTATAATGGTTTATATATATATATAAATGTATTCATGAGTGAGTATGTGTGTGTGGTGAGAAAATATCTTTTATAAGTGTAAGTGATATGATATTGTATTTGTGTGTGTGAGTATTTTGTTAGGTACATGTAAGTTTGCTATGTGAGTGTAAGTGGGTGTGAATGTTGATGATTGAGTTTGTGTGCAGTAAGTAGTAGATACATGTGCACGATGATGATGATAATGATGATGATGATGATGATGATGATGATGATGATGATGATGATAATGATGATGCATGTATATGTGCAAGACATATTCAAGTAAGAGCACACAAGTGTGAGAGTGTGGGTGTATGTTTTTGTGTGGATTCTCTTGTATATTGTGTATTGTGTAATATGTAAAAACTAAAAAAATAAAAGAATTACAAAAAAGAACCATTTTCAAGATGGTGTTTAATTTAGATCAAAATTTCTTTAGAGTTTTCAAATATCAGCAATTCATTCTTTTCTTTTAAAAGTTTACTGTCTCACATTATGATAGTAGCCCTGATAGGATAGTACAACAATGGATAGCAGTAGATTTTACTACAGTTGTTTTAACTGACTAGTTCTAAATCTGATAATGTTCAACTAACTGGACAGATGTAGATTTACCAAATAAACTGTATGGATGGACTCGGAGTTGGATGATTTCATGTACCTTGTTTTAATTTCACCTTTAACATTGATATGAAGAAATCAACAGACAAACAGCGGAAAAGACTAATTCACTTTGGGATATTCGACTAACACCACACGCCTTCACAACAAAAATGCTCTATAATTACTTAGTTTAATATTACACCAGGTAATCGGGAATTTCAACTATACAAGGAATAAAATCGTGAGTAAATATCCTTGGAAAGCATTTGTCACACATTCAACTAGAAGCTGGGTGTATTTGCTGCTCGTTCGATTGCCTGTTTCGTTGCTTGATACCTTGTCCTCATTTGAGAACGTGACATTACGAACTTGAATCGACCAAACTTTACATGGTGCTATCAACGATGAAGCAGAAGACGCTTACTCCTCGGGAACACATTGTCGTATTCTCCCCATTACTTTTGCTTTTTTAAGAAGGAAAACAATCAAATCATCAATATTACGACAGACTTCCAACGGACGTTCTTGAATCCTATTCAAATATTCAAACTCTAAATACGCGACAGGAATACTTTTTTTATTTATATTCACGATGACTGTTTACCATTTCTTCATCACCTATCGATATTGACTCATATATGCTAAACATTGTTTCATGTAGGGATGATTATATGACGAAAGTGTTACTTGTATTTTATGTATACAATTGATTTTGTGTGACATATTTAGACTCTACGTCTATGAGTCAAATGTCATAATGAAATATACAATGTATACCGTATAGCAGTAAACAGGAAATGTAATACTTTGTTACACTATAATTCATTCACGAGTCATAGTGGTGACGTCATCGATATCAATATATATGACGTTAGAACAATCAAAAACTTAGTCAATATAAATATATGTTATCATTGCGCAAATGATGTAATGATCTTATAACAGGTATTGTTATTCCTGAAAATTCTGCCAGGTCCAGCCGCCCGGCATAGCCATAGCAATATACAGTCACGTCTGTGTAAGTCTACCTTGATAAAAAAAAGCTACTTGTCTATAAAGGCCGCGTTTTGTTTCCCATTGTAACGAACCTCTAATTAAAGACCATCTGTGTATAGAGGTCATTTTCTCTGCTCATTTAAGTCGCCTTTATAAACAGCTTCGACCGTATGCCGTTCAATGCCACCAGCATTTTGATCTCAGCTTCAAGGTAGTATCTAAACAACGACTGGTACGATCGATTTAATCAGACTACTTTTATATTTCTTCTGACATGAATGGATGTATTCTTCTCATTCTCTACTTAAAATGCAGTAACGAAGACCGTTTACATCAAGTGTATGATTAGATTTACATTTATATTCTCATAATAAACAAATATAACGCGAATTCAGTTTCAGTGCTTGTAACACATATTTCCTTTGTGACCTAGTGCCAATGATTAGATGTCATTCATACGGTACTTTAACAGGTTCATGCACTTAAAATTGAAAAAACGGGGTTTTTTCTGATTAATTGAATAAACGATCAATTTCCTTGGTGACCTTTATAAGTATCAAGCATAAAGCAACAGTGCTATTTACATAAAAATGTATCAGTAAATTAATGGGAAGACGTAATAACTCATTCATACGAATAATACATTTTATAAATTTCATGCAATGTTTAAATTAGCAATGGAGCGGTTTGCAATACACAACATAAACATGTACTTGACGTTCTTCTGAAATTATCAGATGTTTAAAAGATACGAAAATATTGAAATATAAGGCTGGATTACCTCTCCATCTAGATTTTAACATTTTTTCGATCACTTTGATTTTCCTCGGCCGCTTCTTTAGTTTCAAATTTAGGCACTTAGCATCGAAAGACGACACATTTGTATGGTGCAGTTAAAATTCCATATTTGACTCTCTGTCTTATCATAAATCTAATCCAAAAGGTCTTATTTTCTTATATGTTAACATGACTTTATATATATGTATAATTACATAATACTATGCTATAAGCACTCTTACTTGTTCTCGTTTAACAAAATGTTACCAAAATACAGTAACAACAGACAATGAAATGTATCATACCGTCCGACGTTTAATTTCTTGTCCTAATTAATAAGATGACGCCAACACAGAGGAATAATCTCCGTCAGTCCGTGGTTAATAAGCTGTTGGTATTGAAGAAGTATCAGGTAACAGCTTATAAATAGAATATAAAATTATATGATTTTGTGACCTTGGGCTTGTTGCAAATGTCACAGTTCTAGTGACATCTATATGAATCAAATACAACAAACTTTCGAAGATTTAAGAGGTGAAGGTCATAAAGAGTAAGTGACAGTATAGTGATCGCCTTCAGGAATTCATTACAAAATGCTTCACTTCCAAAACTCGAATTCCATAGAACTAGGGCAAAAAATAACAAAAAAAGTCTTCTGCGTCATCGACAACACGTTCTCAAACTAGAAAAAGTATACAATAATGGAACCAACTGGCAAACTAATGAGCAACTAACACGTCCAGCTTCATATCTCACAAACAATAGAATATTTCTCAATAATATCACTATAACCATCATTTTCATCGACCTGCATATTTTGAAACCTTGTGTCATGAGTTTGTTCGTCAGTAGAAGACTTCCTGTACGAAATCACTGATAATGGGAACGGACCCTTGAATATCAAATCTACTGCGACAAGTAAACACCGTGAATTTGGGAGGCAGGATTATTGCTATTCAGAAATGGAAAATTCACTTGGATAAGCTCTTCAATAAATTCAGCCTCATATGAAAACAAAAACAAAAAAGAGGAATGCAGTTAGCTACCATAGGCATGCGGATAGTCTGTTGGAAGATGGTATCACACTTTCTTTATTTATTTCTATTTTTGTGAATTTTCCTGATATCGTGTTATATTTTTTATCTTGTTTTCACCTGCAAAAATGTATAGCTAAGTATACGTTTCCTTAAAGATGGACAATTAAACGTGAAAGATTAAATATAAGTGAATGTGTTATAAAATATTTACAATTGAGGTTTAATTCGTGCTAGGCTACCCTAATCATGCATATTAACAAAATTGTTGATTCAGTAAACAAAGGTTAAGGCAAGTAAGAATTCTTTGTTATGATAAACTATTATCGATTGCAGGGTATTGAATCTCCTTGAAAGCATTGTGGATAATCCCCTGTTGTATCTAATAAATAAATATAAACCCCAGCTGTATGCTGCCGTTATGAAAACTTCGTGTATGCATAACAATTAACATTAATTCTTAATTAACGCATGCGCAAATAAACACCTTCATGTTATGTTAATCACCTATGTAACTACCGATG